GTTCCTGCTAAGAATCCCGTTGCAAGCGCATCTGACCCTGATTCGGTGAACACTCTGCGGGACCATTGTGTCTACCGTCTTGCAGTCTTGCTTTTGCTGTTTGTGGAGGAGAAGTATTGCAGACCACCCTATGCCCAGACGTTAAAAGTGGATGAGGTGTATGCTGCCGTAGCCTGAGGAGAAGACTGTGCGTACGTCTCCGGAATGAACGATCCAGAGGGTCGGTCTTCTGGCGAAAGGCAAAAGGCTCGTGAAATTGTCCTTTCCATTTTTGACTTTCAGCAGAAGCATAACGAGTATCTGCTTTCAGTGATGGATTCTTTCAAATCGAAGGTCACTGAGGTGGTTTCTAGTTGTGAAACCATGCAACAATTTGAATCTACACCCTGAGAAAGTCAGCTTTTCTTCTCTGTCAAGGGGTTGAGCAATTTTTAGATGAAAAAGAAAATAGAATTTACGGCTGCCCTCAAGGGAGACCTTAAAATTTCAATTCCATTTCCACCTACAAAGCAATTTATATAGGCCAGATTTGATGAGAAAAGTTTTTATTACATTGTACAATCTATTAGCATTCGATTCAACTCATGAAAAGACATACAAACGAATCGTGAAAAACTTTCTTGGGTTACAGTTTGAGAGAAGCGATGATTTCTCGCTCATTTTACTTGTGCTTTTTTCGTTCAGCTTTGTTATTTATGTTTTTTGTCTTGCATTTAAAGCAACCATACATGGTGATGGAGTATTTATGTCTTAGATCTACTTTCAAAGCTGTTTTTGGGCACGAAAAATAGTTTCATCTTGCTTTTTTTGATGTAACAAATGTGGTACCAATGATTAGACTCAGCCTGTACAGTATGACCTGTAAAAGACACCGCCTCTTTTTATTTATCTCGACTACCAAGGCATTTTTATAACAGGCAACCGTAACCAGCCTCTCAAAAAAAAACTTTCTAAGAACTACAGGAGTTCGGAGATATGTTAAGCATTGAAACAACTTTATTTCCTATATACTTCGCAGATAGCTGTAGCTCGGTAGAGAACGAGGTTCGATAAGTTTGTTTTTCGATTATAAACAC